GAAAGGGAACATCTATAATACTTTCAACAATAAAGAAAAATTAAAATAAATAAATAAATAAATAAATAAATAATAAAAGGCATGAGGTTTCTCTTTGAGCTCATAAAAATGTTGCAGCCCGGCCGGGCGTGGCTCAGCGGCTGAGCATCACCCTATGATCCAGGAGATTGTGGTTTGATTCCCAGTCAGCGCACATGCCCGGGTTGCAGGCTCGATCCCCAGTGGGGGGTGTGCAGGAGGCAGCCGATCAATGACTCTCTCATCATTGATGTTTCTATCTCTCTCTCTCTCCCCCTACCTTCCTCTCTCTGAAGTCAATAAAGATATATTTTTTTAAAAAAAAGTTCCAAAATTGTGGTGATGGTTGTATATATCTGTGAATATGAATGTTTATAAGGTATGGAAATTATATCTCAATAAAGCTGTTAAAAATTAATGCATTAAATGTGATTGTAGAAGTAAAAAAACCATTTTAAGCATAATAGCATCAAAAAGCTGGCATGGACGCTCCATGTCCCTGGTCCTCTCTGATGCTTCTTCCCACCACAGGTGTGTTATTTGTTGGTCCTCCAAGACTGGCTTCCTATGTGCACATTTTATGAATGATTTCATCACTTTCTTATCAAGTTGTTAGGCTTCTTCCTCTTGTACGGCTATGTTTTCCATGTGTTTTAATTTTTACCCCCATCTGCAAACACACCCCAAACTGTAATGCAGAGGTCCAAAGCAGTCACCTGAAAATGCCTAAAGGTCTCTGTCAAATGCCTGAGACTCTATCCCAGATCTTCTCCATCATTTCATCCAGCTAAATGAAGTAGCAGATATCAAAGGGCTTTGAAAAGCTGTAGTCAAGGTCATTAATAGAATTAGTAATTATGATTATAATTAATGTAATTATTATATTAAATAACACACGTTACTTCTTTCCATGTCAGTTGTATCACTCCACCGTAGGAATATGTGTTAGAAAAGATGAAAAGCAACCACATGTAAAATAATCAGTCATAAAATGTCACAGTTAGAAGCGACCTTAGAGATGTTCAAGTCCAAGTCCCTCATTTTATAGTTGAGGGAACATTCAAAAAGATACACCGACTTTTCCAGTATCACTCAGGGAAACAGCCAATCCCCACGCAAGGCTCTTTCTGTCATTCCAAGCTGATCACCAACCAGAAGTAATAGGAAATCAAAAACATTTAATGATTACACACACACACTCAGAGAGTGTGAGAGAGAAAATGGCACACCAAGATATTATTATGATCCACTAAAATGAATTAGTAAACTAAAGGTTATTACTATGTTCTAACTTCTGTTTCCCTCTATCTTCAAAAATACTTTAAATACTCTTAGATATCAGAAACACTTGGCCACCTCTCTCTACTTTAATCACAGTGGAGACAGAATTAATAGTTTTGCTGAATTATACTTACAATTAATTTTATGGGGCCAATTTAATCATTTTTGTGTATTAATGCTAAAAGTTCTAATTTATTAGTCATCTCTTATTAGCATGCCAAGTTTCCCCCACTTTGAAACATGATTGCTAAACTATAAGAAAGTCAACCACAGCAAACTTTCCCATTTGGTAACAATTGGAATGCGGCATACCACAATGCAATTCATTCCAATAATTTTCATATCACATCAAAATATCATGATGATCCAGTTTCCATTTATGACTTGAGGCAACTTCTGTGTTCTGTCTGCAGCAACATCATTTCATAAGAGTCTTTTTGAGAAGAGCAAATTGTGGTGTTAATTAGAGAAAACAATTTTTACTTTATCTTTTAGCCAACTTCAGATTTACTCTTACAGAAGAAACACATTTAGGCTATTCCAAAATAACAAGTCTTGAACTGCATCAACACTGACATCTTCACATTTAATAAATTGAAACATTATAAGATATGAGGCATCTTACTAAGAGCGTCAACACAGTAAATGACTATTTCATTTCTTCATTCAAATATAAAGAATATTTCACCAATGTCTATTTCATATATCTGTATACATGTCCCAGAAGAGTATGAAAAACAAATCCTAGAAAGTTCTCCCTCTCCTCCAAATTTCTCCCTAGCCAACTTTTTTTTAAAATAGCTGACACCTACCACATTTAACACCTCGCAATACTTTGAACTGACATGTTTGTCAAATGCACAAAAGAAAAGAATCTGAAATTCTCAGTACCCAGCTCTCACCGTGAACAGGTTGTATCAAGGTCTTCTAGCAAAAAGAGAGCATTTCAAAGCCGGAACNGCCAACTTTTTTTTAAAATAGCTGACACCTACCACATTTAACACCTCACAATACTTTGAACTGACATGTTTGTCAAATGCACAAAAGAAAGAATCTGAAATTCTCAGTATCAAGCTCTCATCGTGAAGAGGTTGTATCAAGGTCTTCTAGCAAAAAGAGAGCATTTCAAAGCCGGAACAATGTGGGAGAACAGTCAGGGGGGACTTGTAAGAAACCACTGCTTTACTTCTTCAACTGGGCAGCAACTTGTGCTAATGAAACTTAGGTGGATGTTAGAGAGCAAGCCCCGGGGCTCCCCTGGCCAAGGTCACCCTCACCAACGACCATGAAGGCTCCTAGGGGCCTCACAGAAAGGTGCCACTTTAAAGAGACACTGGAGAAAAAAGGGGAAAAAAAAAAAAAAAGGAAATGGGGTCATATTACAGTGGAGCAGCTGAAACCTTCATAGCTTTAGGGCAAAATAAATAAATAAATAAATAAAAACTCCTTTTGCTTCGACTACCTCTAAAGAGCCCTGACATACCAAATTACATGCCTTTCTACTGCATGAGCCACGGACAGGCTGTTTACACCCATCTGCGCGCCTCGCTAATGATGCCCTGGTGCAAAGGGGACCAGATTCTGCGAAGCAATGAATGGTTTCTCGCATTCTGACCTCTTCCGTGCCACTGGCAGTGATTCCGACAAGATTCCCTGTCGCACCCAGGACTTCCCCCCGCGTCCCACATGCGCTGTCCCGCGCGTGCTCTCGACCTGGATGCTAGCTCCTGAGGGCTCCTGCTGAAAGCCTCCGTCCAATCTGCCTTTATGATTAAACACCCTTTGGCTCTAAAATTCAAGTCAATGAACGCTCACTGGGACGTCGTTGCTCATGACCTTGGATTCTGGTTTTCCTAAGTCCACACCTCCAGGTGCGGGGACCAGCGAACGAGCCCCCCCCAAAACAACAAGCCATCATCCCTCCGCTCCAGGGCTGAGACCCTGGCAGGTCTCAGTCACCCCAGAAGCCCACCAGCGACTCTTTGTTTACAACTATTTTCGGCTACACATGTATCTAAAACAAAGCTTCGAGGCTCCCCAGCCCTGAAACCAGTCCACAGCCCGAGACGCGACGGGGTCACGGGGAACAACAAAGAACAAACATCCCCCTTACCTGGGTCGTGGAAGGGCACCAGCGCGAAGTTGTAAAGAGGTCTCTTCGGTCTTTTCAAAGACGTCTCCAAAATTTTGGAAGCCCCTTCGATCACCTGCACTAAGTCATCGTACATGGACCCCGTCACGTCGAACACAAAAGCCAAGGTGGAGGCGCCCTCGGGGGTGTCCTCGGCGCGGACCTCGGGCTGCGGGCTCGCAGCCTGGGCTAGGCAGGCGCGCAGCAGGGCGAGCAGGAACGCGGCGCGCAGCGTGTCCCGGGAGCTCATTTTCTTTTCTTTTCTCTCCCCCCTCCCCTTTCTGAGCGTCCAGGCGCGGGGCTCAGCCCTCCTCAACAGCACGCAGGGGGTCGCCTCCCCGAGCAACTCATTAGACTCTGGAAGGCTCTTGGAACCGGCCGAAAGTTTGCAGCGGAGACTCGGCGGGGACGGGCACCG